ACTTTTACTTGCATTGTATCAGATAGTATGCATGGTATAATTTCTATTTTCTTATATTTTGAGGCTTGCTTTGTGCCCTAGGATATGATCTATTTTGGAGAAGGTTCCATGGGCTGCTGAGAAGAATGTATATTGTGTAGAAGTTGGATGAAATGTTCTGTAGACATCAAGTAGGTCCATTTGATCTACTGTATATTTTAGATTTTGAATTTCTTTTTTTGATTTTTCATTTGGATGACCTATCTATCAATGATAATGGGGTGTTGAAGTCTCCCACAACCACTGTGTTGGAGTTAATATATGCTTTTAGGTCTTTCAGGGTATGTTTGATGAAATTGGGTGCATTGACATTGGGTGCATACAGGTTGATGATTATTATTTCCTTTTGGTCTATTTCCCCTTTTATTAGTATGGAATGTCCTTCTTTATCTCATTTGATCAATGTAGGTTTGAAGTCTACTTTGTCAGAGATAAGTATTGCTACTCCTGCCTGTTTTCAGGGGCCATTGGCTTGGTAAATCTTCTTCCAGCCTTTCATCCTAAGCCTATGCTTATTTCTGTCAGTGAGATGGGTCTCCTGTAAGCAACAATTGTTGGATCTTCCTTTTTAATCCATTTCATCAAATGGTGCCTTTGATGGGTGAATTAAGTCCGTTAACATTAAGTGTTAGTACTGATAGGTATGTGGTGATTCCTGTCATTTAGTTGTCTTAGTTGTTTGAAGGTTTGATTGTGTGTACCTAAGTTGAGGTTACTCTCTACTTTCTGCTTTTTCTTTTCCTGTAGTTTGGTGCTGCCTGTCCTTTCATGGTTATGTTGGGTTTCACTTTCTGTGTGCAGAATCCCTTGAAGAATCTTTTGTAGTGGTGGCTTTGTGGTCACATATTGTTTTAGTTTCTGCTTATCATGGAAGACTTTTATTGCTCCATCTATTTTAATGATAGTTTTGCTGGGTAGAGTATCCTGGGGTTGAAGTTATTTTCATTCAGTGCCCAGAAGATCTCACCCCAAGCTCTTCTTGCTTTTAATGTTTCTGTTGAGAAGTCTGCTGTGATTTTGATGGGTTTATCTTTGTATGTTATTGTTTTTTCTCTCTTACGCCTTCAATATTCTTTCCTAGTTTCTGAACTTGTTGTTTTAATGATGATATGTCTGGTAGTTCTATTTTAATCTGGTCTGTTTGGTGTCCTGGAAGCCTCTTGCATCTGTATGGGAATATCTTTCTGTAGATTTGGGAAATTTTCTGTCATTATTTCGTTCAAATGCAATAAAGTTTCAGTCTTAATAATTTTGGTGTTTGTCCCTCAGCCTCCAGTCCTGGAGATGGTGCCTCAGATGTTGTTCTGTAGTTGTCTCATCCAAGGGGAAAAATAAAATAAAACAAAACTTCACAAAACAAAAAAAAAACCCACAAAGTGTCCGAAATTCAAATGCAATATAGTTTCAGTAAGTTTTTCAGCATGCAGGCGTAGTTCGGTTGTTGTCTCATCAAAGGTAGGGAGAGAGAAAAAAAAAAAATAAGAGTCTGGAAACAGTTCTGTGAATGGCTATTTGTTTCTGTGGTTTGCCTGCTCCTGCTGTCAGCCTACTGTTGCTGGAGGCTTTATTTATGCAGATCTCATGGGTGAGCTTGGCACTCAACCTGGCCCCGCATGCTTTGTTTACTCAGAGTTCTCCTGTGCACAAGCCGCTGCTACAAGCTTTCCCCTTTCCAAGCACACTGGGGGAGGTGACACTGTACCCGCTTTCTCAGGCTTGCGTGTTCATTTACAGCTCATGTGGGAAGTGGGTCTTCCCCCCTCTCCTGTGGAGTTTTCCTTCCTCCACCACTCTCACAAGCTTTCCCGCTCCTGGTTGCTGGGCATGTGCTGCTGCTCCTGCCTTCTCCAGCTTGTTTATTTACAGTTCTGTGAGTGATTCACCTCCCCACCTCTTCAGCGCTCAGGGCGCCCCACCTTCTTTGCTACGTGTCTTTATTCTTATTGCTTATTACTCAGTTTCTCTTTTTTTCCCTGGGTGAGGGTCTGTTCAGGGGGCTATGCTGATCTTTCCCAGGGTTGTCTGTGGGAGTTCCGCGTACCGCTTAGCTCACCTTGTGGTCTGCGTCTTCCCAAGCCTTCTGGGCCCAGAACCACAGAATTTATGTGAGTCCTATATAATCCATACTAAATTTAGAGGCTCCATGTTTCCATTAAAGTGTAGGATGATTATCTTAATGAAGTTCCTACAAATTTCTTAGATTTCTTGGAAATCATTTTATCCTAAATATTGATGTGAATTTTATGTTCTATTCCATATTATACTAATATTTTCTTATTTGATAAATATTGTATATCACTAGGTCAAACTGATACTCAAGAAATAACTTCATGTTTATCTCAACATTCCCTGGCACTGTAGCTTGCTGCTTATGTACTATGAAATGTGTGTGTACTGCAAGTTTACTATTAACCAGAAGTTGGTACACTGAAAAGAGCATCACTGCACTATCACATGAATTCTTTTTGTAAAAAAGTACAACCATTTTCAAGTTTTAGTGAATAGTAGTGTTAATTATCATAGTGATAATTACTACTATGAACATCATTAAGAAGTCTCTATTAGTCCTGTATTATAGAAAAATTTATAACAACTGCTTTGATATCTCTGAGATAGTGTATTTTTTTTCTATTGTTTATCCTAATTCATTATTGTGTTGAGGAACTAAAATGTTAAATCTTTCCTTCTTTCAAAATGTTCTTATTTAAAAAAAGAAAAAAGAGAATGTTCTTAGGGCATCATTTCAGGTGTTAAAGACTGAAAATCTACTAGGGTTGTTGGCACATGCCTATAATCCCAGCATTTGGGAGGGAGAGGCAAGAGAACTGTGAATTCAAGGCTACGCTGGCCTACTTAGGAAGTTCCAGGCCAATTTGGGCTATCTAGTGAGACCCTGTCACAAAACCAACCAAACAAACAAACAAAAAACCCAAAGGACACCAAGAAAGGAAGGAAGGATTGAAAGAGGTAGTACTTCAGGCTTTAACCAGATAACTTGATTTGAAAATCTGTACTGCGTTGTGGGAATATTACAGGTTAATTGTGTAGGACTGGAAGAGTGGCTCAAGTATTAGTGCCTGCCTCACAAGTTGAGGCCTAGAGTTCAAGCCCCAGTACTGCCAAAAACAGACAAACAAGTTAATTGTGTATATTTCATGTCATTAGACCCTGAGAAATTACTTTCTAATTTATAATTCATCCAATTAATTTAAAAATTTTTGTCAGCAATCTCATAAACTTGGTACTCCCAAAATGCTTATCTGAATCAATAACCCCAGAAGATTAGAGACAATATAAAACTGAATAGTAACTTGTATATATAGCTTATAAAAAGGCTTCATAAACTAGCATCTGCCCCTCTATCCTAATATTCACAACTATCAACCTACATCCTACACTTCAGTCTTGAGACCACGTGCAGTTTTCAGCCTACTTTCTGTCTTGCCTCCTCCTATTTGTCTTTACCTGACCTTAGCCATTCCCTTTTGCAGCCAATCAGGGTATTCACTTATCAGTGTATTCAAAATGGAGATGGTTAAGGTATGATACAGGAAGCAGTAAGTGCTACAGTAAAATTGTAGTTAAAAGTGTGAAAACTAATAGAAATTAGTAAGAGATAGGAGTACTTTTAGGATTTAAATATGCAAGATGGGAGGAATGAACTTGCCTGATTATCATGAGCCAGTACAAAGAAGTAAGGAAATAGTGTTGTTCATTGGGAACAGAAAATAATGGATTAAATCTACACAAAATACAAAAGTGAGAGATGAGATTATTTTGGTAGAAAATATGATCAGCCTTACAAACATTAACTTACAAACATTAACTGTCAGCAATGTGTAGGGTTTATGAGCAGTAGATTAGAATTAACTGGTTCTGCTGTTATTTCTTCTCTAAATAAATGAGAACTATATTTGATCTATGACAATAAAGTAATGATACTGGTAGTATAGTAGAAAATTTCTTAATTTCTTCTGACAGAATGCCATTCCCTATAACAAGGAGAAAAGCCAATTATTTCTATATTGTTGACACTACCAAAGCTTTTTTCTGGTAGCCCTGGGGTCTCAACTCAGGGCCTCATGATTGCTAGGCAGGCACTCTACCACTTGAACCATGCTTCCAGTCCTTTCTTACTTTAGTTATTTTTCAGAGAGGGCCTCAGACTGCTATCTTCCTACCTATGCTTTCCACATTGATGGGATTACAGATGGTTGCTACTCCCAGCACCACAGTATCTTTTTGAAGGCTTTGGAATTGCCTTCAAAATTGGCATTCTGCATTCTCTTACAAGCTGTTTATGGTGGCAGATAATATTTTTATTTCATCCCATGTGCTATTTTAACACCAGCTAATTCTCTTTGAAGAACCACTTTTGCAAATTCACACGTTGCTTCTACTTTCCAGCTGTACATCCTCCTTTGCTTCCTGTAGCCACACACAAATCTGTGCTGCTAATCGTTGACTTTCTAAGTATGTAACTGTCCACGTGCATTTTATGTCCTTGGTTTTGTTAATAAATAATTTGACTCTCATAACCTGATAAAGGTTGTACAAATTTTGAATAATTGAAGTCTTCATTGAATCTAGCATTAATATTAAATATATAAAAAGCACAAGATTTTTAAATTTTTTATCACATATTCTTAAGGTATACAGTGTAATTATAGTCATAAAATTATTTTGAAGTTCCAAGGGTGAAAATAGGTCTGGCAGCTTGGCTTCAGTGGTAGAACACTAGAAAGTGCCAGACCCTGAGTTCAGTCCCCAGTACCATCAAAAAAGTATGAAAATATCTAAAAGTAAAATGAATAATTGTTTCTATGTATTTTACTGCTAAACTAAGACAATGTTGTTCATTGAAATAAACACACCTTGATCACTTTTTAAATTTCAACTGGAGTCTTTGCAAGCATTTATAATGATCAAGAAGAATTTGTGTATGTGATTTTCTTTTTAAGGAAAAAGAACGGTTGAAACAAGAAAAACGTGATGAGAAAAGATTAAATAAAGAACGTAAACTAGAGCAGCGAAGACTAGAGTTAGAAATGGCAAAGGAACTAAAGAAGCCTAACGAAGACATGTGCTTAGCAGACCAAAAGGTAATTTATATCTCATGTAAAGTACTTCATTGTTAAGTTTAATTTTTCTATTTTGCTCATCTGATTCCTTTGCCAGAGCTGCCATTATGAAAATCTTTAGTTTTTGTCTAAAGCAGTGAATTTGCTTTAGGTCAATTTGCCTCTTCTGAATAGCCACCAATAAATCTCTAGAATGCCTGTGCTGATAGTGGCAGCTCTTAATATATAACTGGAGCACTGAAAGCCTTTAAATTTTAGTAGATACACTGCAGAAATCTACAAAAGAATCATATAAATAGATAATATTTCCATGTTTCTTTGGTCCTTCCCAGGTATGTGGGCATAGGAAGATCTAACTTCTTACACACCATAGATATTTAAATAAATTGAGTCTATATTTCCTCCAATTATTTGCATCTAACCTTCATTAAGCATGTTTATTACATTCCAGGCACTGTGATTAGTGCTTTTTTTTAATTCTATGGTTATCCACAGTTCTGTGTTATCATACAATATTAGTTTTAAAAGTCTTTGGTCAGTTTTTACTCAGTAAATACAGAGTAAAAGAACAATTTTTATAACAAGACCTTTTCAGATAAATAGAAACATTTAGAAGCCACTTATTTTTCCAATTAAAATTTAAAGTACCCAAAGGAAAAAATAAATAAATAAATAAAGTACCTTTTTTGAATCTCATCCATGGTCAAAAAAGGTTTTTAATTTAGATTGCCTATTTACTGACTTTTGTAAATGTCTATAACTGGTACTATAATTTAGTCATTAAAATGTTAATATGTGAGATATCTGACAAGCAGCAACAGTTTTCTGATTTTAATACTGAAGTTCATATAAATGCTTCACTATATACAGGGTGAACTAAAGACTATTAGTGCTTTGTAACTAGGTTCTTGTGCAGTCTTTAATTCTAGTAATGTGAACCTAATCATTTATCTACAACCATTAGCTATAGATGGTACCACTACCATCTATAGTGAAGAGTCAGCCAGAAAGCCCACAGATGCATGCTGTTAGTTTCTGAGCAACTAAAAAAGTATGAATTTTAAATGTCTCCACTATTAGAAGAAATCAGTACCATACCCTTAATAAGCATGTCCATGATAAAGTATTTTTGAGATGCCTATTTCTTATGTTACTCAGTGTTTGCCCAAATTATATAACCCATGTTTTGTCAATATATGTTAACTCTAATTAGTGTCACTTTTTTGAGATTTAAATTCATATTGAATTCAACCAAAATTTACTGATCGTCATCTGTGTTCACAGACACTATGCCTGGTACCATGGGGATTTCAGAAATGCCCCCAGGGAATTTACCTTCCAAAGGAAGATCCACTGGATCACAGAAAGGAATTAAAGAGAGCAGCCTATTTCATTTTAGAAGTTGGATCGTGTTTTTTAAGTCACTGTAAATTTGGTCTTTATATTTATGTATTTTGTTTTCAGCCTTTGCCAGAGTTGCCTCGTATTCCAGGACTTGTTCTCTCTGGAAGTACATTTTCAGACTGTCTCATGGTGGTGCAGTTCTTACGAAACTTTGGTAAAGTTTTGGGCTTTGATGTGAATATTGATGTTCCAAACCTCAGTGTTCTTCAAGAGGGATTGCTAAATATAGGGGACAGCATGGGTGAAGTACAAGACTTGCTTGTGAGGCTCCTCTCAGCTGCTGTATGTGATCCAGGTCTAATTACGGGATACAAGGTAAAAAAAAACAAAATATACAAAATTGTTTTACATTTGTAATATCTACTTTAACGTGACAGCAGAAAATTGCACATTGATAAATAATGTTTCACAGAGTTAAGTGTAGATTTGCATTCGTTCACACCCAGTGCAAGCACAGAAGAACCCGGTTATAATGCTTAAGGAATACAGACCTTTCTCAGTTACTCTTTTTTCCTCTAACTTTAGGCAAAGACCAAGTCAATTTAAGGAAATACCTAAGTGGTATTCAACAAAAACAGAGTTCATAATCTGTAAGACAATTAGAACTCGTGTATGCCTTCTGAAATTACACTTTGACTCACTCAATCACTGTGAATAACAGGCTATCAGGCACTTATAAACCAGTACATTAAGAATGTATATTGCAGCTGGCCTGATGGTACATATCTATAATTTTAGCTATTGGGAGGTAGAGGCAGGAGGATCACAAGTTCAAGGCCAGCCCCTGCAAAACAGTAACAAGAGACCTTGTCTCAAAAACAAAATGCAAACAAAAGGGCTGGAGGCATGGCTCAAGTGGTAGAGTGCAGTGGGAGAGGGAGGCAAGGGGGAGAAATGACCCAAACAATGTATGCACATGTGAATAAATGAATAATTAAAAAAAAAAAGTGGTAGAGTGCTTGCTTAGCATGCACAAAGACCCGAGTTCAGTCCCAGTACTGGAAAAAACAATGTATATTGCTCAGTGGATACCCAATAAGTTCAAATTTAGCTTAATTCTAATTAAAATACACATTCCAGTTTGGTTTGCTCTGGATAATATTATAGACAGAGAAGCTTCCAGATGTATGTGTTTTTCCTCTGTATCCCTATTCATTCAGTGCACCAAGCAATAAAAACTACACCATAAAGGTAGAATGCATAACAGTAATGCTTTGAAGAGGGAATGGAATAATGTAAGTTCTAATACTTATCATCTGGTAACTTTTTCGTTTGCTTGTTTGCTTGGTAACTCAGGTTCTCATCTGCTGGCACTCTTAACACTTGAGCCATGCCCCAAGACTTTTTGCTTTAGTTACTTTTCAAATAGGGTCTCACATTTTTGTCTTGGCCAGCTTGGACCAAGATCCTTCTAGTCATGCCTCCCAGATAGCTGAGATGACAGGCATCTGCCACTATGCTCAGCTTTATTGATTGAGATGGGATCATACTGACTTTTTGCCCACCTGGCCTCAAACCATGATCCTGTGATCTCTGCCTCCTGACTAGATGGGATTACAGATGTGAGCCACCACTCCTGGCATCTGTTGCCTATTAACTCCTCTTCAAAACTGTGAATACAGGCCTTGTTAGTAGTATCTAATATTTTTAATCTTACTGTTTTTATGTTATGAATGGTTATGATAAATACTGATTAAAAATTGCCAAACTTTTATAGGCCAAAACAGCTCTTGGAGAACATTTGCTGAATGTTGGTGTGAATCGGGACAATGTATCTGAGATTTTGCAGATCTTTATGGAAGCCCACTGTGGACAAACTGAGCTTACAGAAAGCCTGAAGACCAAAGCTTTTCAGGCCCACACTCCAGCACAGAAAGCTTCAATCCTGGCTTTCCTCATCAATGAACTGGCATGCAGCAAAAGTGTGGTGAGGTAAGCACTGCCCAAGCTTTTCTGCCAGTTCTTCTCTGGCTTGAATTTATCTATCACAAAGAAATTAAAATTATACAATCTTTACCTTTCAAACATGGCCACCAATAATATTTTTTTTAGGCAAGTACTCTACCACTTTAGCCACACCTCCTGTCTACCCATAATATTTTGATGTATTTCTTTGTAGGAAAATTAGGATCATACTGTATTTATGTAACTTGTAATCTTTTTATAGTCTTTGCTGTCTATTTTGTTTAATATGTTGTTAATTCTTTATATGTATACACACACATACATACAGGTTTTTTGTTTTTGTTTTTATTTTTGCTACAGAGCCAGAATCCAGCACCACTGCAGAAATAAAGAACTTTTCTTGATATGTTTGAGGACAGATGACTACCTGATTTTCCTTAGTAGCTATTGATACAGAATTATCCTGCTACTTATTATTTGGTTGTTTGCTAATACAGCCTTAGAATACTAGTTTCTCAGTTATTCATACTTTTTTCAAAAGTACTTAATCTCATTTAAGAATCAAAGTAATTGTATATGTAATTGAAAATAGAACAATGAAACTTATTGAAATAGTTCTGAGACAGTGGAGGAGGAGAAATGATGGAGGGGCTGAATGTAAGATATATTGTAAGCCCATATGTAAATGTCACAATGTAACCCCCTCAGTACAACTATCATATGCTAATAAAGATAAAAGAGTTAAAAGAAGTCCTGCACTCTAGCTCTTAGTACAACTGAAATGCTAAACTAGTACTCTGGCATTTCCAGATTTGTGAACAAATCCATGTTCATCTTGTTCTTGCTATTAGTTATTTTACAAATTTTAATTATGTTTCTTTTAGTCTTTTACCTTTTTTAGAAAAAAGAATCCAAATATTCAGAGTCCTGTATTTGTACCATTGCTGGACATTTTAAGTTTTCTTTACGTATTTTAGCTATGATATTATACTGAAATAATTTTTCTTTGTTTTTGCTATTCTTTGGCAGTATAACAGAGTATGATAAAACTTAAGTTTTATAATTTCATCAAAATTAAACAAGTTAACAAATAGCAATGCTGAGTAGCAGTTTTTTTAAAATACACACACAATTTCAATATAAGTAGTATCTTAGAAGGAGAAAAGTACCACTGTTCACTTATTACCATCACCAGACAGAATATTGTTAGTTTCTGTATGGACATTTTTATACACACACTCGGGCAGCTATTATCTGTGTACAGGTATATATGTGCAGTTATGTAAATATCGATGTGTGTTCTGACTTCTTTGGCTTTGGAAGTTATCACACCTTAAATATATGTAAACCAAATGGAATGCTGTCTTTATAAGACAATTAATGGACAGTTTCTCTCTTGGTTTAAAGTAGAAACTGTCGTGAATTTTCTAATACTAATGTGGTACTCACTGAAAAAATGATCATTCCTCAACATAAATGTACATGTATGTATAAACATACATGTCATATGTACACACAAGATAATTTGTATCATTCTGTTTATCAAAAATGCATTAACTTTCATGTAAAATGAATGCCTTCCAAAAGTGGATTAATTTGTGACTTTTACTAAATTTTATATTGGCAGTGAAATTGACAAGAACATTGATTATATGTCAAACTTGAGGAGAGATAAATGGGTAGTCGAAGGTAAACTCCGCAAGTAAGTCCTGTTTATTAAAACTAATGTACAATTTTCCTTTCATACAAGTTCCTAGTAAAACTAATATGAATTGCAAGCCAGAATTTAACCTGTAGTTTTTCTAATGGAAAGGTAATGAATAGTTTAGGTGGGATATGATATTAATAAAACTCAGAGCTAGAATCTACTGGTGGACAGAACTATAATGAGATTCATTGAGCTTACATACTTTAAAGTCAGTTTCTCTTTTTTCCTTCAGAACAATCATATTTTCTAAACTTGTTTAAGTTGCTCTAGTCATAAATAGAACCTATTTGGAACTATCCCTTTTTTTCTTAATAACTTTCTGATTAAAATTTTCTTTTACAAAATCTAACCAAATTTATTCCACATTAAAACTTAATTGTCTTCCTTCCAGGAAATAATATGGTATTCATCTCCTATGTTAAGAATATAATTTTGCCATGCATGGTAGTGCATGCTTGTAATCTCCACACCCAGTAGGCTGAGACAGGAAGATTGTGAGTTCAAGGCCAACCTGGGGTACAGGATAGTCAGTCAAATCATATGGGGGATCAGGAATTATCACTTGGCCATTGTTAGAATTCATCTTTTCAGCTTCCATAGTGTCTTTTAAATTTGTTCTAATTACCAAAAGGTAAGACTAACTCTTGAAAATTATTATGATAATTTTTTTTTATTATTATTATTATTATTATTACTATGATTTGGGTTTTCAAGACTGGCTCTCACTAGTATCCAAGACTGACTTGAACTCTTGATCTTCCTGCCTCAACCTTCCAAGTGCTGGGATTATAGGTGTGAACCACCACACCAAGCTTCTTAATTCTAATTTTAATTGCCATTGTTATATTGCTTACCATGAGAGAAGAACCATGAGGTAGTTTTGCTTGGAATTCCTATTCTCTTTAAAGAGTAAATAGAGTAAATTTTTATTCCATATCATTGTTTTTAAATATTTAAAGGCTTAGAATCATTCATGCGAAGAAGACAGGCAAAAGAGACACTTCAGGTGGCGTTGATCTTGGAGAAGAGCAACACCCCTTGGGCACACCTACTCCAGGACGCAAGCGAAGAAAGAAGGGAGGAGACAGTGATTATGACGATGACGAGGATGATGACAGCGATGACCAGGCTGATGAGGATGATGAAGATGAAGAAGATAAAGATGACAAAAAAGGAAAGAAGACTGATATCTGTGAAGATGAGGTAATCAAGTTTAGGTTGATTTTTAAGACTTAACTAGAACTGTATAACATACCAAAAATAACACTGAACTTGGAGTCAAATAGATTTGGATTTGAAGTTAGTTTTGACATTCACTTGTTTCAGTTTCTTCATCTGAAAAATTATTTTTTGTAGCAGCAGCAGTGCAGAGAATCAAACTCATGGCCTCATGTGTGCTAGGCAAGCATTCTACCACTGAACTACACCCCCAGCCTGAGAACTGAATGTTGTAATGTTTATCTAAAAGCTTTCTGTGATAATTAAGTAAATCATGAATAGTATGCCTATACATACAAAGCAACTTAAACTAAATAAAAGAAGTTAAGTTTTTCTTTGTATGTATAGTCAGGTGCTGCATAATGATATTTCTGTCAACACATATATATGAGAATGGTCTCTTAAATCACCTAGTGACATTGTAATCATCTTATTCGTGTAAGCATATTCTATGATATTCACATAATGAATTCACCTAACAAAATATTCTCAGAATGTATCCCCATCATTAAGTGACACATGACTATAATTACTTGAGAATTCTCCAAAGAGCTATGCAGATTCTTGATTTCAGGTATACATTTATATACACTTCATGTCTTTAAAAGTATTGTCAGGTTTAGTGAAATGATGTGTTTCTCAAACACAGTTATTATTTCTCTCATTCGAGGCAGTTTTAATAAGAGGTGAATAAGGTACTGAAAGTCCCTTCTTGACTCAGCCTTATTGAGGAAGATTTGCAAAAATACAGTGTGTTAACTGATTTGATGGGGAAGGGTATTTACAATGTGCTAAGACAGTACAAAGGAAGGGCATTTAGACTTTCTGCAGAACAAACTCAGACAAGTTGTTGCTGGACTCATTAGCTGACGCTTACAAGCAGAGGGTGAATGTTGAGCTTGGGAAGAATCTGGAGAAGAGTACCCCAGGCAGAGGTAATAGTATAAGCAGAGGCATAGAACCACAATATATTTAAATATATGTTGTCAGTTCAGTGTTACTGGTAAACCATTCTAAAAAATTGAAATGACAATGGTCAAGCTTGAGTTTTAAATATCTCACTCCAGCAGCTTTGTGGGGATTAAAAATAGGGTAGGCCTAGGTCAGATTTCCAAAGGTCAGTTATAAAGTATTATAATAGCTTAGATGTCCTGTAAGTGGTCTGAAACTAGAGCAATGATAGGTAGAATGAAGTAGAAAATGATTCAATAAGAGAAAAGGTTAGATTAAAAAGAATTAACCTAGAAGGTAACACCCACGCACAGGAAATCAATGTGAGTCAATGCCCTGTATAGCTATCCTTATCTCAACCAGCAAAACCCCTTGTTCCTTCCTATTATTGCTTATACTCTCTCTACAACAAAATTAGAGATAAGGGCAAAATAGTTTCTGCTGGGTATTGAAGGGGGGAGCGGGAGGGGGTGGAGTGGGTGGTAAGGGAGGGGGTGGGGGCAGGGGGGAGAAATAAACCAAGCCTTGTATGCACATATGAATAATAAAAGAAAAATGAAAAAAAAAAAAAGAAAATGATTCAATAAACACTGAGTAAAAATAGGAGGATTTGAAGAAGGACTGTGTAGGTTGATAGAAGGGGTAGGAATGGTTTCCAGCTATCTGGTTTGGGAGACTGTGCTGTTGTTGCTGTTAACTAAGAGAAGTTAGAAACAGAGTAAATATATGGTTAGAGGTAGGGGTAGTTTAGAGGACAGATAACTGAATATAGGAAATAATAATTTGGACATGTTCAGTTTGAGGCACCTGTGTAAAGTTCAACAGTCAGTTACATTTGGGAACCTGGAGCCTGAAGAAGAGTTTAGTCTTGAAAATATAGATTGGGATGTTATAAGCATATGAATGATAGTTTAAAATCATATGTAGATGACTTCGTACAGGATTTCATGAATAGAATAGTGGACTAAGGCTGGAAACCCAGGTTGTATCACTATTTGACAGGAGCCCATGAGTATTCTGGTTCAAGAAGAAACAAAAAGGTAGGATTTCTGTATTCAGTCAGAGATTCCAAGACCTCCTTCAGGTTCAATGATTCACTTAGATGATTCACGGAACTGAGCATATATTTGGCTAAGGAAACAGCCAAATCAGCAGAGAGTGTTTGGGGTGAAGTCCAGAGGAAATCAGGTACAACTTCTAAGAGTTTTGTCTATTCAAGGTCACACAGGATGGGCTTGCCTTTCCTAGCAACATGTGCAAAATGTCCACAGGGAAGCTCATTAGAGACTCAGTGCCAGGTTGGTCACATACTTGGGCTAGTTACCCTTTGTACCAAAATTCTAGACCCTGAAGAAAAGCTGGTATTTGGCATAAACCGTATCATTAGCACAAATAGTTTAGGTCCAGTGAGTGGGGGATGCCTCCTGAATTCCAATTTCTCAATGCCTGACAAGAACCAACCTTGAATGCAAACCTTTCAAAGGATAGCACTCAAGCCTACTGTGTTGTCTTTTGTGCACATATAATAATATAGAAATTAAGAAAATTAAACATTTATAAAAGGAGGAATTAATAAATAATCTTAAAGAATCTGGAGTTTAGTGTATAATGACAGAAAGTGTTTATTGAACTTAGCAACATGGGGATCATTGGTAACCAGTCACAGCAGTTTCATTAAAGGGGTGACAATAGACATCAAGCCAATAATTGATTAATAGCAGATTATAGCTTTCAGATATTATGCTTTCTTAAGGAGGACAGAAAACTAGGAATTTTTCAGTTGTGAAAGACTGAGATGAGTTTTGGTTGAAGCGAAAGAGTCAATAAAATGAGAGAGGTGAATTGAAGAGTAAAGATAATAATTAATAGTAAAAGGTTCTAATGATATTGGAGAAGTTCCATTAAAGACAAAGGAACTACCTTTGAAGACTGGGCCAGTGAGGGAAAGGCAGTGTCATAAAGGGATGTGTGCATTGTGGGTGTTTGGAGAAAGCTACCATAAGTCAGGGGAATGGACATCTATGAAAGGTTGGCATTTACCTTTTACCAAACTGGAATGCTAAAAATAATGAAAAGCTGCAGAATGACACTTAAAAAAAACAACATCCAGTGAGTCATGCCTTATGATCTTAATGCCAGGAGTATTTAGCTAACTAAGTCTAGAAAGAACTTTTCTCCTTTCTTGCTTTAATTCAGTCTTGGAACAGAACAAACAAAGGTTTACAGTAATGAATTTATTGATTGAATCTATGAAAATAATATCCAGTAAGGACAAATGAGAGATTATTAAATCAAATTTATGACTAACTCGAGTAATGTAGAACTTAACAAAATAATGTGTAATATAATTCTTTTTCTTAAATAAAAATAGCATAAATACAAAATGTTTTCATACATTCTCCCTCTCCAGTATTAAGTTTTCAACCAGAATAATAAAAACCACTAGAGTAATTTTCTCAGTCTGTCTCTCTGTCTGACACACACACACAGTACTGGGGTTTGAACAATTCAGATTCATGCTTGCTAGGCAGGTGCTTCTACTGCTTGAGTTATACCCTGACCCCCTTTTTTATTTTTCAAATTTCTGTAATTACCCTCAATAAAGTTTTTAGTGTACATTACAGTATTGTTGATGATAGGCATAGTGTTTTATAGCAGCTCTGTAGAACTTACTCATCTTGTGTAACTGAAACTTTATACTATTGAATCATAGCACCACCATCACCTTATCTCCCTTCACCCCAACAGTCACCATTCTACTCTAGATAGCTTAGTGATTGAAGCACCAAGAATCTGAACTTCCATAACTGGCTTAGTTTGCTCATGTTGTCACATGTGGCGGGACTTCTTTCTTTTTTAAGTCTGGGTAATATTCCATTGTACTTATATACCACATTTTGATTATCTGTTCATCTGTCAATAGACAGTTCTGCCCTTTGGCTACTGTGAATAATGCTGCAAAGAAATGCAAGGGCAAACATCTCTTCAAGGTCTGGATTTGAGTCCTTTTGGATATCCAGAAGATATTTCTCCAAGTAAATAAATTGTTGGGATCCTATTGCAAGTAATTCCACAATGTTTTGAGGAACCTTCATACTGCTATCCTTTAGTGGCTGCACTATTTAACACTCCCACCAGCAATGCAGAAGGGTTCCAATTTCTCCATACTCTCACTAGCACTTTTTTCTTTGTTTTCTTTCTTTCTCTTTTTGATAATAGTCACCCTATCAATTGTGAGATAATATTTCATTGTGGCTTTTATTTGCATTACTCTGATAATTAGTGATGTTGAACCACTTTTCATACACTTGTTTGTTATTTGTATGTCTTTGAAAGATGTCTACTCAGATCCTTTGCCCATTTTCTAATTAGGTTATCTTTTTTTTTTTCTAGTTCACAAATATTTTCCCATTCTGTAGGTTGCCTTTTCAGTCTATTGTCTCCTTTGCTATACAGTCTTTTAGTTTGATAGGGTCCCACTTGTTTATTTTTGCTTTGACTGTGCTTATTGTATTCTCTACAGTGAAATTAAATTCACTACTTTTAATAATACCAATCCAAAAAGAAACCTACATTGAGATTTGTTGCAGAACTAGATGTTTCCTAATGTTATAAATTTATTTATTTTAAGAGATGGTCTCACTGTGTTGCTCAGGCCCGCCATAGACTCCTGGGCTCAAGCAATTCTTTCATGGCCTCCTGACTAGCTTGGGACTATAGGCATGTACCACCATGTCCAGACATACTTGACTTTCTAAACCCTTAGGTCATATACATTCATCTTGTGGCAAATAATATGAGAAGTGTAATTTCCCAAAGATACCATAATTTGCCTTATTTTCAAGTACAGCTGTTTTGATAGCAGTAATTAAACTTTTTAAACCAAGAATAGTTATCTTTTCACACAATTAGTGTCTTCTTTCAGCATTTAATATTATAAATTGTTTTGGCAGAACACAGTAGTTCATGTGTACAACCCCAACCCCTTAGGAGATAGAGATTGGAAGGATCTCCGTCAAGACCAGTCCAGGCAAAAAGTTAGTCAGACTCCATCTCAATCAATAACCCAGTAGTGGTGGCACTTGCCTGTAATTGCAGCTATGCGGGAGGCCATAGGTATGGTCTGAGGCTGGCCCCAGGCAAAAATATAAGAACCTTCCTAAAAAATAACTGAAGCAAAAGAAAGGGCTGGGGTGTTACTCAAGTGGTAGAGTGCCTGCCTAGCAAGTATGAGTAAACACATCAGTTCTCCAAAAATAGGTTTAGCTTCTTGATTATAGCTAGAGTTATCAGTACAGTAGTCATATTCCTTATAGGATTAATTACTGGGAGGTTCTCCATTAAGACCCATGTGATCCCTGTAAATTATAAAATATGTCCCTTGGCTGTGAGGGCAGTCTGGCTATGACATCTTTCACTGCATTGATCACCGGGTTCGTTCTGCCAGTCTGGCTGACTTTGCAGGTTCCCCTTCCTCATTCATTGCTCCATGTGTGTCCCTTCCAAAGCTGCATGATTGGTCAAAGAAGACTACCTTCCAGATACAGGAGGACTTCTTCTTTGGTCAAGGATATATAAGTAACTGTACCTCCAAACAAGAAGATACTGGCTGCCCTAAAACTAAGTCATAGCCCTTTGTCTCTGGATGATTCCCTTTTCTGCTCACTCTTCATTCCTTCCATACATAGACTTTTCTCCTAATAGTGAAAAAAGTAATTTTAGTGGGCTAAGTGTCTATGTAGCTCAGTGACACTTGCCTAGCTTTCAGCAGGCCCTGGCTCAATCCCCATCATCACACACACACATACTCACACTATGTTTAGTTAATTTGGCTACTACATGACTACTTTGATGTGTCATTCCAAATACTTATATTGTATTTTTACATAAGCAAATTATCAAACATTTGCCCTGATGATCAAAAGAAGATCTCAATTGTCTAACATTATCTATTATTTAGATACTCCTTCTTCATATTTAGAGGACCAAGTTAAAAGGCATTTAGGAGTATTATTTGTGCTAACAGTAACATAAATTTTAATTGGGATTAAAAGATAGCTTAAAAGACAATAGACCCTTAAATCTTGACTCTCAGATACATATTTAATTATTTACTCTAAGTTGATCTTTTGAACTGGTGTGGTGGTCCACACCTGTAATCCTAACTGTTCAAGGAGCCCAAATTAGGATCAAGGTTCAAGGTCAGGCCAGGCAAAAAGTCAGCAAGACCCCATCTCAACCAGTAGCTAGACATGGTCATATATGTCTGTCATTCCAGCTACACAGGAAGCATAGATGGATCGTAGTCTAGGCTAACACAGGCGAAAATTCAAGACCCTGCTCCAAAAAATAGCTAAAATCAAAAAGGGCTGGTGGCGTGGCTCACATGGCAGCCTAGCAAGCATGAGGCTCTAAATTCAACCCCCCAGTACCACCACCAAAGAAAAAAGGTTTTAAGACTGGGGCTGTAACTCAGTGGTAGATCAGTAGCCTGTGCAAGGTCCTGGGTTCAATCCCCAGCACAGAAAAAAAAAATAATAATTCATTTTTGAAACAGAAAGTTGAGAATTTACCACTTGGAGGCACAGTGCATCTCCTACTTCTCTGCATATGTATATGAGGAATTCACTAAATTTCTGCTGATTGATTGAGTAGATAAAACTTAAGAAGAGGTAAATGATAATGTATTTTGTTTTGTTCAGGATGAAGGTGACCAAGCAGCAAGTGTTGAAGAACTAGAAAAACAAATTGAAAAACTGAGTAAAGTAAGCACTTTTCATAATGTTCACTTTTTTAATAGTGTTTTAAAAATCTACATTGTATAGAATTTGTTTTTCTGACTTCTAAGTAAAAGCAAGTTTTTTGTAAGTAATTAAAATGAACTCTAGAAAGAGCCTCACAGTTAATTCTTAAAAGTTTAATGGTGAGATTAAAAGTCTGCCTGTTAGGATATGATATTGAGCTTAATCAGAATCTATGAAGAAAAGGTTCTATATATGTCAGTTTTTCATATAAATACAAACTATCAGTAAAGACATAGTTTTATTGGAATTTGATACTTAAAAGATGTTTTGAATTTCATTGCTATAGTTTCAGCATCATAGGTTTTATTTTAAATTTGTGTTTGGAGATTTTATTTTTACTGGATTTATAAATAGTACATACTTATGCATTTAGCATTAAAATTTCAGTAGCGTTAGTGAAATTTAAGATGAGCATTTAAAAAAAATGAATTTTCAGTCTATGAAATGCTTTTATATATCAATGTTCTAGTCTCAGCTTTATCTCAAAATTTTATCATATGTTGTCTAGGTTTATAGCATGAATCTAAAAATAGGCAAAAGTAGGGTGGAAAATTATGTAAGTATTATTGGTTATCTATCTAATCAATAGAATTGAGCCAATTTGCTTTTGGCTCTATAAAATACTTGATCATATATATAAGATTACATTTTACATGTTTAAGGCATGTTTTGTTATAAGATTCTTGATAAAACTTACACTTTTAACCCATTCCTATAAAAATATCCCTGTTATCCTTAAAATAATTTGTCTTTATTAATGTTACTAAAATTAGAATTAAGAATTTAATTTTTAACCCTTTTGCTATCTTTTCCCAATAGTGAAATTTATCTATGGTAAGGGCAAATAAGTGTACTGTCACCTATATGTTAGTTTTTAAAGCATTTAGAATCCATAAGGTAATTATACATATTGTTTTTAACAGCAACAGAGTCAGTACAGAAGGAAGCTCTTCGATGCTTCTCACTCATTACGTTCAATGATGTTCGGACAGGATCGCTACAGACGCCGATACTGGATTCTTCCCCAGTGTGGGGGGATTTTTGTAGAAGGCATGGAGAGTGGTGAAGGTAGGAACTATTAATGTATTATAAAGTACAGTACTAAATAAGACACTATGCTTGGGCATGGCTTAAGTTCAAACTCCAATACTGCCAAAAAATAAGACACTGAATTTTTTTTTGCCTGTTTTTTGTGGGACTGGGGTTTGAATTCAGGGCTTCGCACTTTCTTTCTTTTTTTTTTTTTTTTTTCATTTTTCTTTTATTATTCATATGTGCATACAAGGATTGGTTCATTTCTCCCCACTGCCCCCACCCCCTCCCTTACCACCCACTCCGCCCCCTCCCTCTCGCCCCCTCCAATAACCAGCAGGAACTATTTTGCCCTTATTTCTAATCTTGTTGTAGAGAGAGTATAAGCAGTAATAGGAAGGAACAAGAGTTTTTGCTGGTTGAGATAAGGATAGCTATACAGGGCATTGACTCACATTGATTTCCTGTGCGTGGGTGTTACCTTCTAGGTTAATTCTTTTTGATCTAACCTTTTCTCTAGTACCTGTTCCCCTTTTCCTATTGGCCTCAGTTGCTTTAAGGTATCTGCTTTAGTTTCTCTGCGTTAAGGGCAACAAATGCTAGCTAGTTTTTTAGGTGTCTTACCTATCCTCATTCCCTCCCTTGTGTGCTCTCGCTTTTATCATGTGCTCATAGTCCAATCCCCTTGTTGTGTTTGCCCTTGATCTAATGTCCACATATGAGGGAGAACATATGATTTTTGGTCTTTTGGGCCAGGCTAACCTCACTCAGAATGATGTTCTCCAATTCCATCCATTTACCAGCGAATGATAACATTTCGTTCTTCTTCATGGCTGCATAAAATTCCATTGTGTATAGATACCACATTTTCTTAATCCATTCGTCAGTGGTGGACATCTTGGCTGTTTCCATAACTTGGCTATTGTGAATAGTGCCGCAATAAACATGGATGTGCAGGTGCCTCTGGAGTAACAGTCTTTTGGGTATATCCCCAAGAGTGGTATTGCTGGATCAAATGGTAGATCGATGTCCAGCTTTTTAAGTAGCCTCCAAATTTTTTTCCAGAGTGGTTGTACTAGTCTACATTCCCACCAACAGTGTAAGGGGGTTCCTTTTTCCCCGCATCCTCGCCAACACCTGTTGTTGGTGGTGTTGCTGATGATGGCTATTCTAACAGGGGTGAGGTGGAATCTTAGCGTGGTTTTAATTTGCATTTCCTTTATTGCTAGAGATGGTGAGCATTTTTTCATGTGTTTCTGGCCATTTGAATTTCTTCTTTTGAGAAAGTTCTGTTTAGTTCACGTGCCCATTTCTTTATTGGTTCATTAGTTTTGGGAGAATTTAGTTTTTTAAGTTCCCTGTATATTCTGGTTATCAGTCCTTTGTCTGATGTATAGTTGGCAAATATTTTCTCCCACTCTGTGGGTATTCTCTTCAGTTTAGAGACCATTTCTTTTGATGAACAGAAGCTTTTTAGTTTTATGAGGTCCCATTTATCTATGCTATCTCTTAGTTGCTGTGCTGCTGGGGTTTCATTGAGAAAGTTCTTACCTATACCTACTAACTCCAGAGTATTTCCTACTCTTTCTTGTATCAACTTAAGAGTTTGGGGTCTGATATTAAGATCCTTGATCCATTTTGAGTTAATCTTGGTATAGGGTGATATACATGGATCTAGTTTCAGTTTTTTGCAGACTGCTAACCAGTTTTCCCAGCAGTTTTTGTTGAAGAGGCTGCTATTTCTCCATCGTATATTTTTAGCTCCTTTGTCAAAGATAAGTTGCTTATAGTTGTGTGGCAGGGCTTCGCACTTTCAAAGCAGGCACTCTACTCCTTGAACCACACCTCCAGTCCATTTTGCTCTGATTAATTTGGAGGTGGGATCTCTCAAACTATTTTTCCCTGGCTGGCCTCGAACCACAGTCCTCCTGATCTCAGCCTCCTAGGTAGCTAGGATTACAGACGTGAGCCACCAGTGCCCAGCTTGAGTGTGCTTTATTTATAAACCTCAATTCTCATTCCTTTTAAGCCCTGTCACCAATAAGTATTTCCTCATTGCCATGATTTTTCTTCTTCCACTTTTTCTGATATCAAATATAACCTATTTTTCTTATATAGAGGGCAAAGATCTTCATTTATTTTACATTTCACAACAGCTACTCTGGAATTTCTCTTCCAGAGTCAAACTTTCAAACATGTGACTTACTCTTATATATTATAACAGACATCAGAGTTTGCCCTATCTTCCCTCCTAAAGCACTGCCATCAACGTTTAGATTCACCTTCCCCCCTAGGAGTCATGAAAATCTCTAAGTTGATTAGGAAAAAGAATAAAACCCAGTTTCACCCACATTACCACTTTAGGGCTTCTGCCATCCTTAAGCATGGCTACCAAGACCATCCTAATTCTGCCAAGTAAATTAATCACTGTCCCAAGGAGAAATTTTTCTACCTTCATTTCCTCCCCTTCCAGAAAGCCAGGTCATCAGGATTTTGCTAGGCAGATGCTCTATTGCTTGAGCCATGCTTCCAGCCCTGGCATCAGGATTTTTTGGACACCAACTGTTCTGCAGAATACATGGTCACACAAACCACAAGTGACACACACTATGCTAATAGAAGCAAAGTTTGTTAGTGAAGGCAACTTAGAAGCCGAGAAGTAACAATGCAAATGTCTTCTAGTACCCTCTAGTGGTTCTGCAGGATTTAGATGTGGGACAAGACCACTCCAAGAGATAAAACACTGTACCCCACAACTTGCTCTGTACTTAGGAGTTAGTCTGAGAAAGTGTGGAGAGCACTTAATTTCTTTGAGCTAACGGTAAACAGCTCAAAGAGCCTTTGAATACAGAAACAGTGTTTTGCAGTATGCATACAAAGCATCAAAATCTGTACACCATGGACCCTGAGAACAGAATTATCTTCAGCTAAATGCCCTGCTGTCCTTCTGCTGGCTCTCAAGAAAGTGGAAAGGAAGAAAGCCCACAGCAACTTAGCTAAAATCAAGGCTTCGTTCCCCTTCCATTTAGTATCTTTTTTTTTTTTGGCAGTTGAAATCAGGGCCTCAAGCTTGATTGAGCCACTCTCCTGGCCCTTTTTGCATTGGTTATTTTTGAGATCAGCTCTTCCTTTATGCCCAGGCTAGCCAGGATTATGATCTTCCTATTTGTTCTTCCCTGCCTATCAGGGATGACATATGTATGCTCCGTGGCAGTCAGCCACTGGTTGAGATAGGATCTCATGAACATTTTGCCTAGGCTCACCTTGAACCATGATCCTCATGATCTCAACCTTCCCAAGTAGCTAGAATTATAGGTGTGAGCTATCACATCCAACTTCATTATCTTTTTTGAAAAACCCATTTGAGCCACCTATAATCCTAGCTACTAAGAAGGCTAAGACCAGGAGGATTATAGTTCAAGACCAGCCTAAGCAAAAAGTCAGCAAGACTCCATTTCAACCAGTGAAAATCTGAGCTCAGTGTTTGATTCTTGTTTACTTCTTGTTTGCTTATCTACTCATCTAGTGAGATTTATTATTTTCTATATTTCCACAATCCCATTATCTTCCTCTTCTGTGTGTAGGATTCAGGTAAGTGTCTTCTTCAGCAATGGTTTATTGGACATGAATTGATACAGTTTTATTATGGAAGGTTTTTAAATGTCTGCTTCAGCCATAACAGTTTTTTTTTTTCCATTTTTATTTTATTATTCATATGTGCATACAAGGCTTGGTTCATTTCTCCCCACTGCCCCCACCCCCTCCCTTACCACCCACTCCGCCCCCTCCCTCTCCCCCCGCCTCAATACCCAGCAGAAACTATTTTGCCCTTATTTCTAATTTTGTAGAGAGAGTATAAGCAATAATAGGAAGGAACAAGGGTTTTTGCTGGTTGAGATAAGGATACCTATACAGGGCATTGACTCACACTGATTTCCTGTGCGTGGGTGTTACCTTCTAGGTTAATTCTTCTTGAACTAACCTTTTCTCTAGTACCTGTTCCCCTTTTCCTATTGGCCTCAGTTGCTTTAAGGTATCTGCTTTAGTTTCTCTGCGTTAAGGGCAACAAATGCTAGCTAGTTTTTTAGGTGTCTTACCTATCCTCACCCCTCCCTTGTGTGCTCTCGCTTTTATCATGTGCTCATAGTCCAATCCCCTTGTTGTGTTTGCCCTTGATCTAATGTCCACATATGAGGGAGAACATATGATTTTTGGTCTTTTGGGCCAGGCTAACCTCACTCAGAATGATGTTCTCCAATTCCATCCATTTACCAGCGAATGATAACATTTCGTTCTTCTTCATGGCTGCATAAAATTCCATTGTGTATAGATACCACATTTTCTTAATCCATTCGTCAGTGCTGGGGCATCTTCAACCATAACAGTTTAGCAGTTGTCTTTTGGTTTTTTTTTTTTTTTCAGGGCTTGAAATACATCATTCCATGCCCCCCTTTAAAAGTTTCTGTTGAGAAATCTGCTGTTATTCTGATGGGTTTTCCCTTTATAAGTGACTTGGTACTTGACCCTTGAAGCTTTCAATATTCTTTTCTTATTCTACATACTTAAGTTTTTTGGTTTGTTTTTGGTTTTTTTGGGGGGGAGGTGCAGGTCTTTGTCTGTTTGTTTACATATAATAACAGCCTTAGAAAAGTTCTTTTCTTGTCTTCTCTTTTTGGAGTCCTAAATGCCAAAGAGTCCAGGAGTACCTGGATGACCATCTCTTTCTCAAGATTTGGGACGTTTTATGCTACTATTTTATTGAATAGGTTTCCTATGCCTTTAGCTTGCACCTCTTCTCCTTCCTCCATGCCCTTTAGTAATTGGTTTGGTCTTCTAATTGTGTCCCAGAGGTCTTACATGTTCCACTCATACTTCATTAATTTTTCTTTTTTTAATCTCCTCTGTGTGTTCTAATACAGCTATCTACCTTACCTTTAAGCCTGAGATTTTGTCTTTGTTTTGGTCTAGTCTACTGGAGAGACTTCCAACTGAATTTTGTTTGGATTTCCCCCTTCCTTCCCTGTCTCCCAGTTCTG